CCCTTTCACGGAGTGAATTAAATATTTGTCATAGTACGAGTTTTCTTGAAAGAGCCATGTTAGGATGAAATCTCACAGTAATTAGTATTCTTGGCACACTGACGTCAAACACACACACACACACACACACACACACACAGAGAGAGAGAGAGAGAGAGAGAGAGAGACACAGACGGATGGTGTTTGATTCTGATCATAAGTTTCTCTCAGCACACTGGACAACTTCTGTTCTGGGTTTTTTTGTCTGAAATGGATGAAAAAAAAAAAAAAGAAAAAAGATATTTGAGTGCAACTGCTCATTTGGACCGAGTTTAAAAATAGTATCAGACGGAGAAAACAACAGCGAGAGGAGAAATACAGAAATATAATAAAGCAAACACTATGGGATATGAAACTGGGAGCAGCACATTAGCTCTTCTGCGGCCAAATCGATCCAGATCCATATGTTATTTCCTTGGAAATTGAAACAAACAAACAAACAAAAAAGACAAAACTTTTTCAGCAAAGATTTTACCGTCTTATATTTGTTGGCGCGAGAGGACAGTGGACAGTCTGAAGCGCCCGGGACGTGGAGTTATTGTAAGACGTATAAAGTTGAATTCATACGGAGGCCGTTGTATTAGTGGTTGATTTGTCTTCATTTGTTTGTCGGCAGATTTCGCCCAAAGAAATATTTTGTCCTCAGAAGCCCACGGTGAAGTGTTATTTTCCTTTAGGCCGGGTTTTTTTTTTTAACGTCCTAATGTTTATTTTAATGTCTGTTGTATTGATTCACGTTGTTTATGTTTACAGTGGAGCGTAGGCTCCTTACTTTGGGATGAAGTGGGCCTCCAGAGTTCTGACATAAACAATGAATTTTTGGTGTTTCCCAATGATTTCAGCTGAGGCAGGAAATGCTGCTCATTTATTTGAGTTAGTTATCTGAGGAAGTGTGTGAATCATGACATGATCTGCTGTTTCTTTACAGCGTGTTGTCTTTGACGCCTTAAGCAGCAGCGACGTCTTAAAGTAAGACGAGGATTCAAACCCCTGACCTTACAGCAGGGTGTGCCCTGACACAATAGAAATGATTCAAGACTCTTTCATTGAGGTGAATGTGATTTAAGCACCGGTGGTGTCGACAGCTTCTGCTGTGTCATCAGTGCAGCTAAGACTGAACACGGCAATTAGATTTTTTTTTTCATCTTCGTAGACTTCAACTATTTATGTTTTAGAAAAGTTTGTACATTTCCTACAAATACTAATTATAATTTTAAATATACACACAGTGTTTTGTCAGCAGTTCAAATATTAACCTACCTCACCCTCGACAGACCAGGACCCTAGAACCCCACCTCCCAGACTTAGCTTCTTTAGCGTCAACATAGCCAACAAGTGTTTACCGTAAATGCTACATTTCTACACCGTGTTTTCCAGTTTTCATGGCAACATAAAGATGGCAGCACTGGGCTTCGTGGCCAAACCCGTGTGTTAGGCCGCGGTCTGTACAAACACTGACACCAACTTTCCCACAGTCTTCATTTTCATAAAACTGGAAAATGCAGGGAGTCAGCTGCACGCCGCCAGGAGGAAACATTAAGCAGATATTCATCTGTAATTAATCCTCAAGGTTAAAATATGGATTTCATTTTTTCAGTCACAAAAATGTTATTAAGAACTAGTCATGCAATAAATTAGTCCGAAAAAAATAATAATAAAAGGAACCGTTTCATATCTCCGTTTCCAAGGCCTCGTCGTATCACAGCAAAGGTTTCCAAGTCTGTCTGTGTTCATGTTTATAATTACTCGTCCTCATCATTGATCCAGTTAAAAACAGCAGGAAACCAAACATTTTTTAAAATTATTATTATTTCAGTATTGGGTTCTTTTTGTCTGGTCGTCGACAGCATAGAGAAGGACAAGGAAAAAAACAAAACAAAACCCCACCGCGGCTGAATTCACCATAGACAGATTGATTAAAGCGCTGTGAAAACAGACTTCTTGATATTTTCAAGTGTTGGTTTCTTTCCATCGAGCCACACGAGGAGCCAGTGAGCTCTGATCACCCCGCTCTTTCTCTCTGTTCCTCCTTCTCTCTCTCTGATGAAGAAGGTAGGAAGACAAGAGCCCTTCACACAGGACTCTTGATTCTATACCCTACAACACACACACACACACACACACATTTTCTGTGTTTTGTGGCCACTCCACATATTGACACGTTACATTCTCCTTCTCTAACAGAAACACTGACAAACCACTCCACATATTGACACGTTACATTCACCTTCTCTAACAAAAACACTGACAAATTTACAGTGTGTCTGATTTTAAATCCTTACCCTTAATCTGATTTGACTGTAACTCAACGTCTAATCCCAAAACCAAACCATATGTTGAACCTTGACCCACGTGTCCCCACAAGGACAAAGTGTCCCCAGGAAGACAAAGTGTCCCCACGACAATAGTTTTTTCTACACACAAGTATAGCTATGCCAGGAACACACAGATAGAGTTAAACACACACACACACACACAGAGAGAGAGAGGGAGGTACAGAGATGGAGAGAAAGTGATGCTGAGGGTGGTTATGCGCCCTCACGTGGCCAAACTGGAATGTAGTTTCCGGGAATATACTAGGTGTATTTATTTATTTATTTCTTTGGTTTCCCTTCCTGCGAGTGTGAGAAAGGGGAGGAGCAGCAGGGGG